CTCTTCACAAGGGCACTTTTAAAATGATTATTTCCAGAATTCAGTCCTGTGACTGGAAACAAATTCTGAGGCTGCACGCAGAACACAACAAAACACAACCTTGGGAGTAAATGGGTGGAGAATACTAGACAAACCAACGGATTTCTTTCATTACAGGGAGCTGCGTTTTAGGAGCCATACAAATTTGATTTTTCTGTGTACACCTTTGTGCACTTTTGTCCACACGAGTGCTTTCCATTTAACTCTGTCTTGTTGTTTCCCATTTACACAACCGGGTGGTGCTTGGTGGGACATATCTGCACTGTGCTTTGCTGTCTTCTCCCCTTAATTACTACTGCCTCATCCTCTGGAAATGACAGAAATCTGAGATCCATTGTGTGCATGCACCCTTTTCTTTTAAAAAACAACAACCCAAAAAACGTTTTTGTCCATGGAATAGCACAATAGTTTTCACTAAAGGCAGCATTTCAAGTGGGCAAAGCAGCTATTTTGATATTTATTTTTGAAATACGTGTTTTTCAATTTCTAAAATAAAAAATGGTGAGGTTAGAAAAGGTTTGCTCTCTAGCTTACTGTAGTGACAGGTAGAAGTAAAGAGGCTGGCAAGCTCAGGACCTGACTGAACTTGCACAGGTGCTTAATTTGCCTGCATCTTCACTTTTTTGCTTTGCGACTTCGTTACTACACACCCCATGTACGCTCAGAGCTGTTCCTACTCTATGTAGGATTGTAGGCCTTCATGCAGAGAGTTCCCAGCTTCCTTTCTGCCATGTATATAACAGATTCTGGTATTAGATGCTGTTGAACAGCACCGCTAATGTCACTGAAATGTCAATATTTCCCTGTATTGTTAAATACCATGCAGAGAATGTGCTGACCAGGTCAAAGAGGAGAAACAACCTTTGCCAGCTTTGGAAGAGTAAATGTGTAACTGGAATGAACTGTATTTGAGATTCATGTTCGTGAATTCATTCTGCCAAGAAAAATTTGTTTATAAAAGACTCTCTTATTTTTATTGAAATTCCTCCACAAAACAACCCAGAACGAGACACTGATTCTAAAGTCTTACAAGCAAAGTAAAAACATCCTCCCTGCTCTGGATCCAAAGTGAAATCTGAGCTTCCTTTGCCGCTTCCAGTCAGCATTACTCACCCAAAGTCAAAATAATTAAAAGCTCAACAGCAGAAATTAGTCCAACAGAACATGCTGCTTCCTTCACATCTAATGAGCCCTTCATTTATTATTACCTTGTTTGTTTATTGCTTGTTGTGCAAAACCATTAAGCTACAGGATGTCTCTTTGCTTTATAATGAAAAGGTTGACTTTGCCATAGGAAAGAGAGGCAGGAATAGTGTGACTAAATAGGAAGAAGGCTATCTCTGAAAGTCCTATGTACATAGCTGTCAACCGTCCCTTATTTGGCGGGAAACTCCCTTATTCCAATTCCTGCTGCTGTCCCAAATTGATGATATCCCGTAAATTTCCCGGGTTTCAAAGGAAGCAGCTCCTCTCCCTCCCTCCCTGCCGGCCAGGGAGGAGGAAGGCTCCAACTGTGTTGCTTGGCTGCGTTGCTCACCCAATAAGGAGTCTAAGAACAACTGAGGGGTGGAGCTTGCATGCCTTGTGCCGATCAAATTGGCCGCGTTGCCTGGGGACTCGCCTTTGCTCAGCGCTTCCCAGCGGAGAGGTGACGGTGGTTTTCCTTGCTGCATCCCCTTTGCCAGGTTGCTGCGCTGTGGGAACCACTGCTTGAGGCTTCGTTTGGCTGCTGGTTGACTAAAATCCCTTAGTTTGGCTGCTGATCCCTTATTTTTGAGGCTGCTGGTCCCTTATTTTCAAATCTGTAAGTTGACAGCTATGCCTATGTAGCTTGCTAAAGGTTTGTTCTGATGTCATACAACACAGGCATGAAACAGCTCAAGGTAGTATCATGCTTTGCAGCCAAATGTTGAGACTTTTTGAATTTGGCATTTTCCCCTGCTGCTTTTGGCTGCAAAGCAAGAGCCAGCAGCACAGTTAAGAGAGCTTGCTTCTGATTCCACCTTAGCAGCTGCAGTGGATTAACAGGCAGATGGCCTCACATACCGGTCAAAATGGCCTGAGGCAGGCTGGCCACCTCTCGATCCAGCCCTCTGGTCAGATTGAGTTCCTCAGCTTAGTTCATAATGCTTTAATTTCACTTCTTGATGAAAAATTGCATTTTACTGTTACTATTACTCAAACATTCTATAATGGAAAGGCAATACCTAATGGACTGTAGGTAGTAAATTCATTACCTTGTTAAACAAAGCAATAGAGCAAACAGTGACACCTAAAGGCAATGAAGTGCATCTGCATTTCTCTTACCATATTTTCTGTGTATAAGATGATTTTTACTTAATATAAATAAAAGCAAAAAAATATGAGGTTGTCTTATACATGGACAGTGCAGAGGTGGGCTACCGGTGTCTGTGCAGGAGAAGTGTGGCTGCGGCAATTGTGTGGGCTTTTGTTGGGTGCTGGCAACCCCCCCCCAAAAAAGCTCAACAACTCTGTGCAATCTCCCCCCATTTCCTCAATTTGAATAGGGGTAATCTTATACATGGTGGCGTGTTATACACGGAAAAATGCGGTACATATTCTAAATGCTATTTGCTTTTCCATGTGTACAGGTTTGCTAATGGAAAGAGGTATATATCTTTACTGTATTAGAAATTAAACAGACCCCATTTTTTGAAATGTCTAGTTTTCTAGATTCATGTGACACCTACATAGCCCAAGAGATGCTAGATCAAACTATTAAAATAAAAATAACAAAACTGCACAGTTCTGCCAGCTGTCCTGTGGACTTGATTGGAACTCGTGTATTGAAATGAGGGGTGCCGAGCAGGGCTGTGGCATTCTGGACAGATATTAGTCCCTTGTGCAAGAAAAAACCCAACAGCTTGTGTGAAACTTGGAACAAATCTCTCTCCATTCAACTTTTGATTTTCTAGAGCTGGCTGTGGGTGCAGAAGGCAGACTGGGATTTACTGATAGATCTCTTGGTGATTTAAAGTAGATTGCTTTAAAGCAACATAGTGATTCTATACCCCCACAAAAAAAATTATATTGCTGAAGAAAGCATAGGGGGCACTGGGTTGAACCAGGAATGTTTGAGTGTATATCTGTATTCTGGTACACATAAATAAATCTGAGCCCATGAATCTGAAAGCCCTGTTTGAGCACTGCTTGTTCCCATGTACAACACAGGAACAAGGAGATCCCAGGACATCTTCACATGTACACACCAAGGTGTCCTCCCTAAAGACCTTTGCAACTCACATGTTGATGAAGGATTGCATGATGTCGGGGGTGGCCTTATGGAGCACAGCCATACTCTCTGCTTCTGTGTTGATGTACAGGGGGGTGAATCATGCCCAAATAAGGCTTCCGTGTATGTCTTTTGCCCCCAACTTTGGTTGATGCATCTTGGAGATGTTGTGAGAAACAAAGCACACCCCACAAGTCTGACCAGCCTTGCTCTAGAACAGTCAAGTTCACAACTGTGTCATTACGCACATTTTTATTAGCTCCGACCATTGCTTAATTAGAAATGCAGAATCCCTGAAGACCAACAGCCCAAAGGGGTCCACACTGGGGGCCATTGTCCAATCCATGGGGGTGATCAGCCCAAGAGCAGCATGCTGTGTGAAGCAACGGTTTTGATGGCAGGCCTCATAAGTAGCTTAGAAGCCCCACATGGCTATCTCACATATATTGCCTACAGCTGACTCACTCAATTTTCAAACATGAGTGCCTGTGGGTGTTCACATTTTTCCAGGCAAGAAAAAAAGATATTTGAAGGAGTCGTCAGAATGGAAGCAGAAGGGTGGTGAGAAGCAATAAGGATCAAAATATCAATGCTTTTGACCTGCCATGGACCGGGATGAAAAACAAACAAAAATTATCCAGTGGCAATTTACCAGCCAGGAAAATAAAGAGCGGAAAAGGTATGAAATAATATGAAAACTCCCAAAATGGCTAGCCTTGTCCATTACCATTCAAAAGCGACACTTTTGGTTTGACAGTGGAACGGACTCCCTCAGGAGGTTGTAGACTGTCCTTCCTTGGAGGTTTATAAGCAGAGGTTGAATGGTCATCTGTCATGGATGCTTTGGCTGAGATTCCTGCATTGAAGGGGTTGGACTAGATGTCCTTCCATTGAATGTAGCCAGACATGGAAAGAAGGTGAATTTACAGTCTTAAGACAAAAATGTCAAGACACTGATAAACAGAAATATCCTTAGTTTATTAATAGATGGCCAAGACAACCAAAAAGCGGAGGCCATCACTCCCTTATGCACAGGCTCATGAGTACACCCAGAAGCATCTAGCTAGACAGTGGCAATGGAAGTCTAGGCTAAATGAGTCTTGGTCTAATTCTGCAAGACTGTTATTACAGGTTACAGCCGCTTCAGGTTACAGCCGCTAACCCAGAAATAGTACCTCGGGTTAAGAACTTTGCTTCAGGGTGAGAACAGAAATCGTGCAGCAGCAGCGGGAGGCTCCATTAGCTAAAGTGGTGTCTCAGGTTAAGAACAGTTTCAGGTTAAGAACAGACCTTCAGAACAAATTAAGTTCTTAACCTGAGTTACCACTCTACGTCCTTCTGCTCAGGGCAAACATCCCCAAGATTAGTGTATCTGTAACACATCAAAAGGGCAGACAAGGAAAGAACAACTAGGACTATGTGCTGCTGTTAAAGTTTCCAACAAGAGGTTATTTGGCCGTTGTGGACAAGATGCTCAACTAGCGAGACTATGGATCAGATGATGTAAGCCCTGTGTGAGAAATAAAACTGAAAAGTTGTATTGCTGGGGTGGGGTGAAAGCTGCCTCTCCAGATGAACAAGCAATGGCCATTTTGACAAGGTGAGCTAGTGAGTCACAGAAGAATTTACAGCAGTGTCTGTGCTATTGCTGTTGGGTGAGGGAGGAGGGGGGAGGCAGCATGTGAAAAGAAAGAACGCTTACAGAAAGTTCTTTACAAGTTGTTCTTCATTCCTACAACAGGGTCAAGTGGGCCACATAAGACTTTTTTACACTGTATAATAAAACCAAGTAACACAATACACATACACAATACGATCAGTTTACAAAAGAAGAGGGGAATATTCAGAGAGGAGCTTGGAGAGGGGGAAGGCACATACATTGTATGTGACATGCAAGAGAAGCCAGCAGTGGGTGCTGCTGTTCCATGAGACAAAGATTCACATTAAAAATATACTTGCGAAAAAAAATTGGCACAGCTTTTCAAAGAGAAGCATCTAAACTTTTCTGGCCAGTTTAAATCTTTTACCCACAGAGAAGTCCACTAAGATTCAGAATCCAAAGAACCGTGTTACTATTTTCACAACCTTGCTTCGCTTCTGCTGGACATTTAAGGAGCCAGGACCAACAAGCTTCGTATGTTCCTGTCAAGTGACATATTGAGGGTTGCCAAAACAGACACCATAATGGAACAACCATCTGAGAAAGACGGTGCAGGGCTGCTTCTCAACAGTAGAACATGACCCCTGGTGTTTTCTATTGGGGTTTATTTCAGAGTCTGAACTATTACTACAGACTATTGATTGCTCTGCTACCAATTCCAATCAAAATAGACATTTTAAAAAATCCCACTAAATAAAACAGTCCGTACACACTATCTTGCATCAGCTTAAGGTGAGCTTATGACTCGGCTACTTCCAATAAAAGTGTGGCTGAATGTTCTCCAGAAGGTTTCAAAGGACAGTGGCCATGCATGAAACCCCAGAAAGCATGATATTCCTCAGCTTGAGCATCCTCTATGGTAACTGAGACTCAACTGTCTATACCTTAACTGAAGCCAAAATATTTAAAGGGGGGGGGGAGGGCAAGGCACTGTCCTGTAAATCCACCATTGTGACTTACTTGAAAAGCAGCCATTTTACAATGATGTTCGAGTATTTCAGCTTGCAACAGCCCACTGCTAAAACATGGAGATGCATTGCCACACTGCTCTTGAGGAGCATTTATATGGATTCACAAATCACGGTGCAAGCAGAGGAACCCAAGGCAATCAAGTTTGCAGGACAACTTCCAACAGAAAAGGTGGAAGCACACCTATAGCACTCAGATCCCTCATTTCTCAACAGTGAGATATTAAGCACAAAGACCCTGCAAACGTACAGGAACAAGGACAGCACAAATACTGCTAGCACACATATGCTATCTTTTAAGAACAGTTTTGCCGCCTCCTGCTCCATTTTATATTGACAGGAGAGCCTTTTACTTCCCCACGCCTCTTTCTTCTGCAAAAGTGTGGGAGACATGTGCTTTTATCAACATTCATCCAAGACCCAAACAAAATCAGGAGGTTGATTGCAGCTAGTCCAGCAGGAATAAGATTTAGCATGGGGTAGGGAAAGCTATTCTCATGCCAATGCAGCAATTAGCTTTAAACCCCATAACACAAAATATCGGAGCAAACCCTGAAAGCACATGAAACTGTCATACTGCTGTAGCTAAGGCGGTCTTGGCCTTGAGCACTGGCTGGTTGAGAGATCATAGTTGAGCTATACAAAATTAGCCCTCGGATGCTCCAGAGGGAGAAACTACTCTGAGTGGGACTAGTGCTGACTAGTCCCATTTTCTGCATTTGTGTTTGTGTATGGATGCGTATGTGAGCGTGCACACATGCACACACAGTGTTCAAGTAATGTGTGAGCCACCAACACTGTTGACTTATTTGAATCATGATGATGCTTGTGCAAGAAAAAAAGTTGAATTTTGATTGGTTGCAGAAACCAATGCATCCCTGGATTCCAGAGTCCTCTGTACCCCTTTAATCTAAACCAGCTTCAAAAAAGTCATAGGCAGAAACCAAATAGTCACACTAAGGCCAGCACAAGACAACTGTACAATTTACATTTATATACAGTATATTAAACATCATTCTTCAAGTCCAAGCAAATCCCTAACATTTAACTCATCAGTAGCTGTTCAGTTTTCTTTATCTTTCTTTTTTCTTTGTTTACTCTTTCTTCTTCTCTAAAGTACTATATAAAATGGCATAATAAGTAGACCAACTTCCACCCCTCTTCGTTATTTTTTTTTTTCCAAAAGTGCAAATGTTGTGGTGGCCACTTCTGCTACATTGGATGTTGCCATTTCCACCTGAGTGTTTTCAATTGGCGATGTGTCCGGTTCGTCCTTCCTTCCATCTGGTTCATGCTTTTCCATCAGCTCTTAGACAAGACGTCCGACTAAAGTTGGGGAGAGATGGAGCGGGAAACAGCAACAGTTTGAGGGAGGGAAGAAACAAAATTGTGAAATCTCCAATTAAATTTTTAGTAAGTAATTAACAGATTTCCCCTGTGAAACAAACTAATAATACCTGGGAATGCAATATGCAGTAAGGCTACAAAAAATAGGGCTTCTCTTTCTTTCTCCCTCCCTCCCTTCTGCACACCTTGGGGTTTAATGCAGATTTAAAGAGATGAATTGCTGGGGTGGGGATATCTCTCCTATTGCACATACCAATTTGGTAACAACCACTAGTATACACCAAACTCATCGGTAAGGAGCATATTTTACTGGCTATACCTGTTGCAAAAGCTTTGTCCCTTTTTCAGACAGCAGAAACCTCACTATATGCAGCCATGAGGACTGAGGGCTCTCACCCACACTTCCTCTTGTCCTGTGATTTCTAGGCACAGTTCCAAGAGGTTTTTCTTTTGTCCCATGGCTTTCCCCAGGAAAACCCGCAACACTTCTTGGACCCCATGCCTATAAAACATGGGACAAACAGAAGTATGGCTAAGCACCGAGTAGTGTAAAGGACTTTACCTGGGCATGCCCTTAAAACCAACTCAGAAGGTGCAGCTAATAAAAAACTATGCTGCTTCTATCTCAAGGACTACTCCGCTCGGTAGTAGTTGCAGTCAAAGGGTGAGAGCCAGGCTCTGAATGAGTGCCCTCTTTCAGAAAGGTTGCCAATCATTTTTATTTTAGGCGACATTGGGCTAGGTGGGTTATTTTGTGTTTTGCTTCTCCAGGAGCTCTCTCTCCCATGCATATTAATATATACTGTCTTAGGCACATTTATTGAATTTCATTGTTGTCTTAATTTTATTTCCCCTTGAGATACCTAGAGATGTGAAAAGGTAGCATCCAAGTGCTTTAAATGAAGTTCAATAAATAAATACTGACAAGAGCTATCCCAGCAATCAATACAGCTTGTCATATGGAAGCACCCTCTTGCCTGCTTAATCAGTAATATCCACAGGACTAGCTCCTTTCCATTATAGTTGGGCCAGGCAATGGCTAGCAGTAGGTTTAGGCAGGATTGGGGGTGGGGGGGGGAAGAACCCCAAAAAACACAGCTGATCAAGAGTGACTCAGATCAGGAGGAAGGGGAAGGAATTACAGAAGTACTTACTGAAAGGGTTAACACCTTGTCTTTTTCCATGGGGGAAACTTCCAACGCTCCCTGCAAAATATAAATCCTTTGTCCAGTGAATTTTTTCATGTATAATAAAGACTGCAGATTTAAGAAAGTAGCAAGGCTGATCTACCAGTGATGATGACTGAAGGCCCGCAAGGAAGAAGTAAAGCAGAAAGTGTAAAGGTCACATCCCTCTACAGCAAAGGTATTTTGGCTGAGGCAGAGTAGCCTGTATTTTCAAGAAGTAGTGATGAAGTAGACTTAGGAAAAATAAATCTGCCATGTGCAATGTTTCAGACCACCACCAAAAAGTGTCATTCTATAGAATGATGATTTGTTCAAAAAAACTTGAGAATGCCGGTTTCAAGATAACCACCTCTTGCTAAAGATGCGAGTGATTTCAGGTATAAATTTGCTAGGAGCAAAAGTGCCTTCTCCTGGTTATAAAAGGTACTTCTTTTAGTGTCCATGGAAATATAAACTGAACACATCTGGGCAACTTTGAAGCTCAGAAACATGATTTCATGTTTCTTTTTGCAAACTGGCATCTTTGGCAATGGCCACCAGAGGGTGCTAAACTTTAGGCTGCTTCCTAAAGCAGACTGGTTTGTTCAAGTGCTACCGCAGGGGTGAGGAACCTTTGACAGCCTGGGGGCCACATTCCCTTCTGTGCAACCACATGCCAGCGACAGCTGAGGTAAAAGTGGGCAGAATAATGCGTGCAAATATTACTTTTATGCAATAAACTGGTTTCTACACACAGAACTCTATCCTGCATCCAGGCAAACATTCTTGCCAGGCAAAAGCACTCAAAGTAGGGCTGGAGAGAGGGTTTGGCTGGAGAAAATCTTGATGGTCAGACACATTACCACCCTGCCAAGCCTGAGCTTCCCCACCTGTGTCCTTTAGGTATGACAAAAGTGTTACCCACCTCCTTCCTTCCCAACGCCCAGGCACCCTTTCAGTTCTTGTAGTGAGATGGACTTGTCCTTGTTGAGGTCACAGTAGTCAATGAAGCGCCGCGTACATTTCTTGGGCTTGGCTTTCTTCTTGACATAGCGCTTGAAGGGCTTCATCTCCCTCTTGTTGATGTCATTGCTGTTATTGTTGTCCAGCTGGCTGAAATACCAATGGACCACCCGCTCTTCCAACGTGTGGCTGGGATCAGGCTCAGAGAACCTGGAAACAAGAGAAGGAAGGCTCACAGGAAACACAACCCCCAATTTTTCAATACACTCTCTCTCTCTCTCTCTCTCTCTCTCTCTCTCTCTCTCTCTCTCTCTAAGGCAGAGCAGACTCTTGACAAAAGTTCTGATGGAGTCCTATTTTGTTTGCTTAAGTCTAGCAATAAAGGTAAAGGTAAAGGTACCCCTGCCCATACGGGCCAGTCTTGACAGACTCTGGGGTTGTGCGCCCATCTCACTCAAGAGGCCGGGGGCCAGCGCTGTCCGGAGACACTTCCGAGTCATGTGGCCAGCGTGACAAGCTGCATCTGGCGAGCCAGAGCCGCACACGGAAACACCGTTTACCTTCCCGCTAGTAAGCGGTCCCTATTTATCTACTTGCACCCGGAGGTGCTTTCGAAAGTCTAGCAATAGCAAATGGTTATTAGGGAAAGCTGTGCTTTTGTTTTTAGAAATCATTAAGGGGACTTCTAGCAGTCTCTTCTATCAGATGGAAGGGCTTGTTTATAATATCTAACACATGGGGAAATTCAAGCAGAAAGTTAGTGTACTAGAGCATTAGTGTAATAAACAAGGAATATTGCTTATTTAAATTTCTCTTTGTAATTCAGCTCTTGGTGGTGAAGCAGATCCACAACATACAGCTGGCTTAGAAGGTCCTTGTTTTAGTGATGCTTAGATCTATTGTTTAAACTTAAGTGTGTGTTGCCTCACTCTCAGCCAAAACCATCAGGAAAGGGGAAAACCTGTAAGAGAACACAGTTAGCCACTTCGTAGGTTACTGTTTCCCTACATGCCACCATCTCTCACTAAACTTGAACCACATGAAAGATCTTCCAAAACTGCAAGTCTTGCAGAAAAGGGGCAGTAAATTTGTTCAAAAAGATAGTTTGCCTTCTGCTCCACCACACACCAAAAAAAAAAAACCCTAAGACTTACAACAAAATAAGGAATAGCGTAGAAAGTCTCAAGAGCCTACTTTGCTTGACCACATCAGAACAAAGCCAACAGTTCTGCTAATGCTGCACACAGATAGTTTGAAGAAAGCTCCTTAGATGTAGATGCAGGAGGAAATGAGATCACCTCTCCCCTCCTCCACACACCCAGGTTAACCTGACCAACAAAAACATGTTTACCTAGGTCAGCTTTTTAAGGGAAAAGGGGGTTGGCAAACATAAGGCTGTTTCTCCCTTTTGCTGTGGTAACACCACAAACACGTATAGATGCACACAAGCACACAGCCATGTTATGGACCACAATTTCCACTATGAGGTCTTATAGTGGATCTAATGGTGAGCCACATTTTATCCACCTACAAAATGAAGGAATAAAACCATCTGTAAAGGTGCACTGCAAGACAGAGCTATCGCCTGTTAATCCATCAATAGGCTTAGAATGGTTATTAAGCTAAGGGTCAAACCAGACAGGGCATCAGCAGTTCTTCCTCTTTCAATGGAGTCCTACCACAACATGTACAAAGCAAAGGCCTGGGAGAAGAGGAAGGCTTTTGCCTGGTGCCTAAGGATATGCAATGAAGGTGCCAGGCGAGTCTCCCTGGGAAGAGCATTCCACATGTGGAAAGCCACTGCTGAAAAGGCTCACTCTCATGTTGCCACCCTCAGGATCTCTAGTGGAGAAGACACACAAAGAAGGGGCTCAGATAGTGATTGCAGGGTCTGGGCTGGTTCATATGCAGAGAGGCGGCCCCTTGAGGTATTGCGGTCTTGAGCCATTTAAAAGGTAAGTAAATTTAGTTGCATGCTTGAATGTGCTTTTTAGATACCATGTGATGTTGTGCTGCTTCTGCTGCGGTGTTTTGTTTTTTACTTCCTAGCCCCTTTGAGTTGAAATGCTTGAATTAATTCATCTGGTATAGCCTAAACCTCTGAGATAATCAATGTCAAGCACTTTGAACATTCTATAATGCAGTGGAAATCTTAAGTATTGTCATCTTCCCACAATCAGAATTCTCCCCTTGCAGTAATTAAATAAAAATAATAGTAAAGTTGGACATATGTAAAAGCATCTGCACAATAAATTCGTCTGAAAACATGTGGTATGGTATTGCAGGTACAAATTGCCTCACAGGGTTTCAAAAGGACAGCAAATTGCTGAGTGAACATCTGTAGAAAATTGAAAACATTTGCTAAGGCCCTCTGTGGGCTGGCAGTTTCTGGCCCTGCTATCAAGATGAAAACAGTTGTTCACGATAGAAAGTGAGGAATTCGAGTGACAGAACAGTGGAACCGCTGACCTCACTCAGAAACAAAGCCCACTAATGAACACCACATACTATTCTGTCTCCTGCCAGATTTATCTGAGTTTAACATCAGGGCACTATATTATGCTCCTTAGCAAATGAGGAGGAGGACACAAACAGCACATTGGTTCTTCTCAGCCACGACAAACAGCACATTACTGCTTCTCAAAATAGTTGTGTCGTTCATTTGCAACACATTTGTGAATCCAAACAAGCACCCATCTCAAACACCCACCTCTCTATAGTCACGAGCAAGGTTTAAAATCACAACCTTACAATCTGCCCCAGTTTGTCACCTCATGCTCTCCCCCAAAGGCTGGCATACAAGCAAAATAGCAAATAAATGCTGTAAAGCTGTGACTTGACTGATACCTTCCATCTGACCATGCCACCCAGTTCCCACAGAAACAAATCAAGATACCTTTGAAGTCGACGGAATCCGTTCCGGAAGTCCATTTGATCCAAAACATTCGAAAACCAAATTGAAAGCTCCTGCAGCCAATCAGAAGCTGCGGAAGCCCCGTCGGACGTTTGGGTTCCAAAAGAACGTTCACAAACTGGGACAATTACTTCCGGGTTTGCGGCATTCGGGAGCCAAAACGTCCGAGTTCCAGGGCGTTCGGGATCCAAGGTACGTATGACTAATGTAAACCGTGTAAGTAACTGGGAATGTGTGATGGAAGCCTAGCAATCCCTGAAATGCTGAAGGGCTAAAAAAAAACCCCTCATATTGATCACAACTTCAGAAGCTTTGTCTCAAGCATGTTGTCTCCTATATGCAGAGATAGAGTCTGGTTAGTGACACGCCCTGGGGTGCCTGAGATTGTATTTTATTTTAACAGTAAGTTTCTAGCCCTACTAGAAAGCAGGTTATGAAGGAAAATGCAATCGTTAAATTTCTGGCTGCTCTCTCCTGTCAGTGTTTTCAGTCAATGAGTTGTTTGAACACCAGGCAATGAGAAACCCTGGGGTCTTAAAAAAGCTGCTGTTCCCCTGCCCCTTTTAGCGTTCTTTTCCTGCACTCAGAATGTAGTTTGTCCTTCCTTTTTTCCTAAAAACCAGGATGCAGTTTTCCTCTGGTGAGTTCATCTGAGATCAGGTACTGCTTAAAAGTTATTTTCTGCAAACACTACTTCATGAAAATCAGTTATTGGCATGGTAAGGGTTTTTAAGAAATCACAGATTTTTCTATTTACATTTGCCTAGGTTCTCCAGCAAACTAACTTTGCCTCCTTTATTTTAAAGAGTGCTGCTTACAATGGCACAAAGACTGAAACACAAACTATTAAGGATGCCAAATACTCTCTGGAGTCTTCTTCACCTCTGACTCACTGTATTTGATACAACACAACAAAATTACTTAAATCTGAAAGCAAGCCATTTCTGGCTTAGAAAAGGGAAAGCATACTTCCTCTTACAGAGGTTTTTGGCTCATTTTAGTCTTAAATCCAAGGAAAATGTGTGTTTTTTTAAAAAGTATCATCTGCATTTGTATTTGCATTGCATTGCATGTTGAACATACCAGCAGACTGCAGAACATCCAGTTCACAGACATTCAACCACTAATACGATTAACAAGGCAGAAATGCCAAATTAAGATATCCCTTACAAAAGCCATTAAAATTCAGTAAATAAGATATGAAATAACACTCTCAAAAATATCTGCTTTGGAAACTGAAGGTCATCTTATTTTGCCCACTGCACTTTTACTTTCTAAAATATGATAATGTGCACTGTTACAAAACCAATGGGAAATGCACAAGACTTAGGCAGACTGATTCATAGATGCATATTCATTGCAAAATTCGGAGAAGGGTGAATTTCAAAGAACGGCTGTTTCTCGGTTTGCATATTGTTTCAAAAATGACAAATTGGGTACATACACCTTCAAATGCAAACTGAATCAAATTCCTCCCCATCCCTACTTATGACCAAGTCCAGAGCTTGAATTTCCCTAGTGTATTATTCAAATAAAATAGTCTCCTTTAAGACCAGATACATCTTTGGTTCTCTTGTTTCAGTTCAACTTGAATGCCTCCCAAACTCACCTTCCGCCTCCAGCAGGTGCTGCTGAGTTAATGGCCTGTACCATGTCTGTGGTGAGAGCATCCAGTAAACTTGTAATAAATTCTACTTTCTTCCCTTCTGGGCAGCCTGCAAAGGGAATAGAAGCTTCCTTTGAACAAATGGTAGTCAGAACAGGTTCTTCTTCTTCCTAAGGCCATGCCTATGCTGTATGGAGTTGTCAAATTTTGTCTGGGTGCAGTTTTAATGACTGCTGTGTCTTGCATTTTTGCAGGCAGCCTAAATCACACCTGCCCACCCACCCCCTTCCAAATGTGACCCACATTTTAGTTTTCTGTCATATATGCATTCTATGGTGCTGTTCCCAAAGTCAACAAGGCAAAGACGGAAGAATGGTTGAACAAATGCATACAGCAAGTTCTGCATAGAAATCAGTGTAAATGAGCAAACAAAAAGTCCTCCCGACACAATAGGAAATGCAGCAAAGGGAAAAGGTAAAGGAGGCGATGAGGACACAGGAACTCAAGCACACAGTCACCAAGATAGCAATATCAGAGAATAACGTGGATTTCAGTTCACATGGATGTTTTAAATCACAGTGTGGATGTTTGTTTACATTCATTTAAAATACAGTAGGATCCACACAAAGTTTCTGGTGACGTGGAAATCCATAAAGGATTAAAATGCAAGGTTCAGATTTAAACATAAATATTACCAGATAATACAAGATTTAAAAATAATTAAAATTACCTCCAGCAGCTCATAAAGCATCAGTAAACTAGTATAAAAAACTAGTAGCCACACATGTGCAGAAGGGCATGTTTGAGTAACCAGCCAGCCACATTCTTCTGGCCTCCACCATTTTTGTAGCAAAATTTGTACAAGAATTACTCTGATGAACATGGAGCCCAACAGAAATGTTGGGAAGTAAGTGGAAAGCCAGGGGTGGAGTAGGATTACTTCCCACATTCAAAGCATATATTTATTTCAGACTTTACATGGAGGGGTAATTTCTTCTCTTAATTTTTCAGGGGTTTGTTTGTTTGGTCTTATTCTTATTCTGGTTGTTTCAAATGGTTTCTAATATGCCTTGTGAACTACTATAATTACTGTTCATTTGAAATATTGCAAGTCACTTTGGGAGACAGTGGCATACAAATAAGCATACGATGATGAAATTTCCTACCATTATCTTCAGGGAGTGTAGCAATATTTAATAAACGTATGAGCACAGATAAAAACCCAAGGCAAAGCTCAACTCAGAGGTCCACTTGCTAACTGTCCCTAGAGCACTCTGAGCCATCTGACTAAACATTAGGAAGAACTTTCTGACAGCAATAGCTCTTTGACAGTGGACCGGACCACCTTGGAAGGTGGCAGACTCTCCTTCATTGCAGGTTTTTAAGCAAAAGTTCTCTCTTAGGTTATCTGTCTGAGAATCCTGCATTGCAGGGGACTGAACCAGATGGCCCTTTGGGTCCTTTCCATCGCTACAAATCTGTGATTTTATAATTCTCATTATCTTATTTATCTTAGCTTTTAATGCTGCCATAAGCAAGTGAGGTGGGAGTAGAACAGACAGAATTCTTCTCCATTCTGACCTGGAAGTTCTCTGTCTTTGAAAGGGTCATCCGTTTCTGGGCTCTTCGATCTGGCGTCACTTTCACACACGGGGGTCTCGTATCTAGAGACCAAAGAGATATAAAAAGAATATGTCCTTAAGGGATGGACTTCAGGAGTTCTCCCACTCTTTGCCCCACCCCGTGAACAAGTGTTAGCTGGAGCAGCGCAAGTGGCAGGTGTGAACGTTGTGCCCCATGGCATTTATTTGGTGACTTTATATACCTGGAGCTAGTGGAAGGGAATGGATCAGAGAAACTGGACACAGGAGTATTGGGGCGGGGGGGGGGGGTTAGAAAGAGCAAAATAATGGGACTGGTTGTTGCAAGAACAGGATTCTCTCCTTAGGGCTTAATGCTGCTCATCTTGACCTCCTACCCCACTCCCAGGGCCAGTCCTAGAAAGTCCAAAGGGTGTAAGGAGATCACTTAGACATGGCACACTGTCTTGTGGGGACTCCCCAAAACCACCCCACAACTCTCCCAGAAACCTGAGCAAACCAGAACGCAGAACTAATTAGACCTGTCTCACGCATCCCTTTTTTTTGTTGGCTTGTTTTTACACTTAAGGCATTGGTAACTTATTAATATTTTTGTGTCTATAGTATTTGCACTAGCCCATCACCACACTGTTTTCTTTGCCTGTTTCCCAAGGTTCTACAGGAACGGGTGGGGACAGGTTGCCCTGAAGGAACAAGTGCAATGAGTGTGGGAGAGAGAAGCAAGTGAGGACAAGTTAACATATCAAGGGTGGGAGCAGCAAAGAAAATGAGGAGCTTTAATAAAATATGCAGAATCACATTAAAATACCTTTGTCTTAGTTTTCCATCTGTCTGGGGTTTAAGTCAGTTTAATGTGCAGAAGAGAAATGCACTAGCATTTCTAACATATAAAATATTATTCAATTTTAAAATTCCCTCTCTTTGACATTTAATACGCCATGACCATGGCTTTCCTCTAGGAGAATTGGCAATAAATCCTCTGCCCTCTGGGTTCAACTATGCTATTCACTAACAAGAAAACAGCCTTGCAGATGAGAAAGGAAGTATATATTGAGTGTACGTTCTGAACCCTAAAGTGGTGGCTCCTTTACTCCCAGGCCACAGTTTATTTTATTTTCTAACATGTAATTCAAAAGGAGGTGATTCGTACCGGGTGGAAGTACCAGGCAGAGGTCGGCCAGTGTCTACCAGAACACACCAGCAATATCCTGTGGACTGGTGACACTGCACTGGCTTGTACAGTCCTCCAGGGGCACATTCAGGGATAACAATCCCCTCACGAGGGTTCTGCCTGGCCTCTTCAAGAGCACTTTGCCTCTCGTGGTCACATGAGTTAACTTTCTCTGGAAAAGAAAAGAAAGGGACGGTCACTATCCAGGGCATATGATGAAGCCCCACCTCCTGTTCCCACCTTGATTATTTAGGAAACCCCATAAATAAAGGAATTAAGCCCTATTTACCTTCTTCAACCATGACTTGCAATATGATCCTACAGCCAGAGGCCTAACATGCTGTCACAAAAGTCACCACTGTGGTTCAGGTTTTTACGAGACATTACTTTGCCAGATAATCTTTAGCCAGTGATCAGGTTTGTGTGGGGTTTTTGTTTTGTTTTGTTTTTTAGTGCTTGATACTTAAGGGAGATAAGGGACGCGGGTGGCGCTGTGGGTTAAACCACAGAGCCTAGGACTTGCCGATCAGAAGGTTGGCGGTTCGAATCCCCACGATGGGGTGAGCTCCCGTTGCTCGGTCCCAGCTCCTGCCAACCTAGCAGTTTGAAAGCATGTCAAAGTGCAAGTAGATAAATAGGTACTGCTCCGGCGGGAAGGTAAATGGCGTTCGCCAGAAGCGGCTTAGTCATGCTGGCCACATGACCCGGAAGCTGTACGCTGGCTCCCTCGGCCAATAAAGCGAGATGAGTGCAGCAACCCCAGAGTTGGCCACGACTGGACCTAATGGTCAGGGGCCCCTTTACCTTTACTTAAGGGAGATAAGATACCAACAGCTGCAGTTGCTACTACATCTCTCAATCCAGCAGTTTTTAACCTGTGTTCCATGGAATGTTGCAGTTCCTGGGAATCAAGAGGTCCTCCCTTAAGCTTTTACACCATTCTTGCTGGTGGAACACACAGCCGTAGGGGAGGAGTGTTGACCATGTTCAAAGGTACAGCCAGTTTCCAGACACTACAACATCACAGTTTGACAGTCCTGGTTGATGCTTTGTAAGCGCTCCCAAGAATGCAACCCAGAATCCCACGCAAAATGATTCTGTAAGGCTATGAGCATGCTATCATTTTAAATCATCTTCAAAATACATTCTTTAACCCTCACAGAGTTACGGTTACCAGCCACCCTTAACAAAAGCTTTAGTGCATACACAGCCTAAGACATAGGGATACCATGGGAGATGTGTAGTATAGATTTCTCCATAGATTTTGAAACCACTGCCTAGATTACTGATAGCCAGTGAATGATACTATACTAGAACTCCTCTCTGCCCCAGTGAGCATGGCCAGTTGTCAAGGATGTTGGGAGTTTAGTCCAGCAACATCCAGGGGGCATCAATTTGGCTATCCCTGGCCTAGATGGACCACCCCATACACACACAAAATAATGTTACCACAGAAAAATCTCCCCAAATGATGCCTTTGAACAACAACTCTGTGTGTGTGTGTGTGTGTGTGTGCGCGCACACACACACACACACAACTTGGCATAACGAGAGGAACTTGATCAGGGTTGCAAAATAGAGTAGAGAGGAGGGGTAATTTTAAAAAATAAACAAAATCTGAAAAGTTCAGTCCTCAGCTGATATTTAAGGGAGCTTTGCTTTGCTGACAGGCTTTACTCTTTATTTTAAGGTGACTGTTTCTGTGCTGTATACAAACAGAGGAGTTATTCAGTTAGAGGCCTCTGGGCATCCTCACAAATCAATTACATCACAAGCTGCCAAATTACTCAAGCTCTCTGCCTGACAGCAATTTACACCTTTCCTGTCAAGGTGAGGTGGGTCATTCATTTATTCAGATGCAGGGGAAAGGGAGCCAAATAATCCCCTTCATGGTCTGCTCAAGTTTTCCATTTATTTGTTTTATGCAATGGAAAATGCTCCACTGAAACGAAGGGCATTCCAGACATATTTACATCTTAACTCTGCAAAGTTCTGCAATGCAGGAATTCAAAGCAAAATGTCGAGTCCAAGAGTTCACTCCAGCATCAGGTGAGGTAGCAAAGCAATCTTGACTACGATCCTTCAAAATATGGAGCATCTGTTCCTGGCTCACAGGAGGGGAACGTGATCTTGTGCTAATGTCCTGCTCATGGGTTTCTCAAAGGAATCTGGTTGGCCAATATGAGAACAAGATGCTGGACTAGATGGGCCCATGACCTGGATCCAGCAAGTTTTTCTTATGTTCTTAAAGACATACCATGTCCTCAAATTCTGGATAAGCAGATGACCGAAGAAGAAGTGGAGATGGTTGTGATAGACTGGGAAGATTGCAATGGCAGCTTCTCTGTGCTAGGTTCTCTATTCTAGCTTCACATGTGAATCCTACTCAAGTTTACCCTTAAACATTCATCGCACAGCTGGGTAATCTGCAGCCTGGGAACCTCTTTTTATGCTACCCAACACCTCCCCATTTTTTTCACCCTGTTAGAATTCCTTGGTTCCTCTTTCTCCTTCATTTCGTTTTTCCTAGCTTTCAGAAGTGTTTTTCTCCCTGCTCACATGTAGTTCCAGAACAACTGAAAGGGCCATATTGTATTTGATTTTTTCCCCTGCTTAAATGGCTTGGGAGAAAATATGTTTTCCCCACATCTGTCTGAGAAAAAAATGGTACATAAATTCTTTCTTTCCACGGTCCAGACCAGCATTCTCTTTTTAAAAAGTAGTTATAAACACCTATTTAGGAAAGTGAGTCAATGTCATCAAAAAGAGAAACAGAATGGAAAATAAATCATTCTCTATGTTAAATTAGTGACTGAGCTAAGGGAAAAGAACAATGTCCAGCATAATGAATGGGTAGGGGAAGGAGGTGCTTAGTGACAACTTGGCCAAGATAATAAAGCTGTGACCATTTTTAAAAGAATAAGACTGTCACATTATCCAACTTTTGCTGTCATCAGGGAAGGAGGCCGACAATGCTGCCAACCTACTGCTGCTGCTACAAGAAGCGAAAGAGGGAGGGAGTCTTTTGGGGAGATTAAAATTCTAGATTTCATCTTCCAACAAGAAATGGGAGAAGTGAGGCAAGTGCTAGGAATCTCCTTTCAATCAGGGCTTCTGACCCACAAAACATTTAAGCTATATTTTGGATTAATCCCTTTGACACTCCAAACTAATTTATAAGAGCTCAGGGTAGAGAATAAATAAGTGTGGCTTATTTGTGAATGACATTTTTCCTGTTAAGACCTTTTGGGGAAAAGTGTAATTTCATTCGTAGGCATGGATTTACACAAGTCACCTAGGCTCAAACAGTCTGAAGAATACAATCCTATTTCCCCATGGATGCTTTCATGACAGTGTATGGCACGAAGCCAGTGATGCAGCCAACTATTAGAAAGATGGTCCAGTTTTGCCTGGAACAAGGAATGGAAGGACATGGTACAGAGCAAGTCCATTTTTTAAAAAGTGGTGTCTGGTTTAGCTTTTAAGTTCTCGTTTGTAGAATAAAAGCCATTGCAATTTCACTCTGAACTTAATTCCAAATGACTTTCCAAATGAAAGTCCATAAATCAGTGCAGCATAATTACTGCATATGCTAGGGTAAAGTGTGCATATATTAGTGAAAGGAACACACAAAGTGCATTATATAAGGGGGAACTATTTTGCAAAAATGTGTATACCAGGGATAACTGCATACAAAGATGTGTATATTACAAGAGATTTGCACTAAAATCTTGAATTTTTGTGAGGCACTTAAAAAATGCAAATCGCTGCAGAAATGTGAGGAACTAGAATATTAATGGCCCAAAAATGGAAACAGGAGGAACTACCGACCCTTGAAGAATGGAGAATGAAACTGATGGATTATGCAGAACTGGACAAACTAACTGGGAAGATCAGATATCAACGGGACCATAAGTTCATCGAGGACTGGGGGAAATTTACAGAGTATCTGAAAAGTATATGTGATGAACAAACAACGCTAGTGGGATTTAAAGAAGCTCTGTGAAAGTTTGAGGAGTATTGTAAAAAAGAAAACAAGTTAGAAAGGGTATACTAAAAGGCAATATTAAATTTAGGGAATGCGTAACAAAAAAATTAAATACGGATGATTGGCAGAGAAGCTGAAGGAAGTCCAAAAGATGAAATTTGTGAAAATTGTTTGATATGGTGATATTTGTATAATTGTATTGAAAACTTAATAAAAAAAATTGCAAAAAAAGAAAAAAAGAAATGTGAGGAACTGAATTTAAGTTTGAAAAAATGAGTAATGAAAATAAACTAAACTGGCTGTTTCATCCTTCCCTAGTACTAAATAGGTTCTCCATAGCAGGTGAAGGGAGAATCAAGTCAACCACCAGAGGCCTTCACCATTCCAAAGGCAACAAAGCTCTTAACAGGATCACTAACAATACCAGCTAAATCCTCCAAACCTATCAGGAATCACCCCAGATTTGTTTTATTATTTTTATTTTTATTATTTATTGAATAATATACCACCCTATACCCAGATGTCTTGAGAAATGTTACTGTCAACATTAGAGAGGGTGAGGTGGCCCATCTCAACAAGTAGATATGGGGTCATCTTAAATAAACGTACAAATTCCCCTTTATTATTTATGTAGTTTATTATTAAATGTTACCGCCTTGTGTGGCACTGTACAGATTTTCCACCTAAGGCACAAAAATGGCTCGTCTGACAACAGCGCATTGAGTATGAAATGCTACGGCTGGGACATTGAAAATGGAGATTTGTATCCCCAGATCAAACGCTCAGCAGAGATCGGAGGCTTTATGTTCCTTATGACACAATTTCCCCTTCCCTACCAAAGAAACAAAAAGCCATGCAATACATTCAGTAACTGACAAGTCTTCAGTGTGGGAAAGAGGCATCTCCCTCCAGCCCCCGAAACAAAAGCCTGCAAGTCATGGAAACAGCAGGTAAGGAAAGGGCAAAAACTCCCCTTTCCATTTAGGAGCACAACACCAGCTGAGCAAACATTGGGAGGAGCAGATGCATAAGTGCCTCTCTATCCCCACTCCCTTTATACAAGAACACCTGCACTTCTCATGACATACCATCTAGGGTCGGATAGCAATCACTGGAGTATTTCGCTTTCAAAAAAGAAATAAGTGAAGACTTTCCCCCCCCTTCCATAACCACAATTTCTAGAAGACCAAATGCTTTGTCTTGGGCTTTCTATACCTCTACAAAAAGCACAAGAAGAAAAATTACAGTAAAACACAATACAGTACAATTTTGTTTCTGAATTTTGTTTACAAGTGCTTTTGGTCTCTGAAGTAGCATGATGGATAACCTTTTAGCCTTTACCAGCTAGTGAATTTCACTGTGGTTCTCCTATTTGAAATGCAGAGATACAGAACCATATGGCAAATGTGCAGTATTGGTTCATAAACCATTAGGAGGAGTCAAGATGGAGAACAGTGGGAAACTCCAAAATACACTTAGTACAACTCGCCTGCAAAGAACGCAGATGGCACCCTTCACTATTCTGAACTCCAGGTGTGTGTCCAGTTTAACTTCAAACCATCTTAAATATAATAACCTGAAATATGTATTTGAAACCTAAATTACAGAGCTTAGCATTAGTCAGAGCTCAGCCCCCAAACCTATTTTACATTCCAGAGCTCAGCTCCACAACATCTGGAATAAGGCCAATGTCTTGGAGAACAGGGACAATGCATTTGTCTCACCACTTGAGTGCAAAGTCCACCTACCGACCCACACATGGGATATGGAACTAATGGCATGCTTGAGCCCCAGCACCTCTTTTGCAGGAAAGCTAACCCGCGTTTATGGGTGCCTTTCTGTTTTCATTCTAACTCCAGTGGCCAATCCATGGGCTCCCAGTCAAGCACTTTGATATTTTGTTCTAACGTCTCATGACACCTTGCTCCCCCCCACACACCTTGCTTCTTTCCCTCCCCTTCTCCCTTCCTGCCCCTATGTGACTTTACAGCAGCTGTGGGGAGGTTGCTGTTATGACTTTGTGCTTGGAGTAATTTGTTTTCTTTCTTTGGAGGTAGGGGAGAGACTGAATTCTTTGTGAGTGATTTATCACATGGCCAGCAGGAGCGAACCTCATTTATTTGTCTAGCTGCATATGGTTTTAGCACCTATGATTGCGTGCTGATTATTATACGGTGTTATTTTTCCCAGTTGTATACTTTGCACCTTTTCATAAGGTTAGATTAACTGGTTCCCAGTGGCATGTTATTCATTACTTTGTTTGCTGGCTGTCTGGAAGGGCTTAGCCTCTTCCATCACTCCTTGCCTTGCTTCAGCCATACTTGCCTCCAGACAAGCCAACTTAAAGCTTAAGTTCACCAAGGATGGACCACCCCACTTCTAATTTAAAATAAAATGGTTCACATATATTTTTTCCACCACTGCCAATAAATATTCTAATCACCATTCCAAATTCTGTCAGGCTTCCAGAAATGTGCATTTGGTATTCTAACAGTATTGCATTTGCTAGAATGCTGAGCCCTATAGACTAACTTTCTATATTTTAACCCAGGCTTCCTCAACCTCGGCCCTCCAGATGTTTTTGGCCTACAACTCCCATGATCCCTAGCTAGCAAGACCAGTGGTCAGGGATGATGGGAATTGTAGTTTCAAAACATCTAGAGGGCCGAGGTTGGGGAAGCCTGTTTTAATCTCTTTGGGTCAAATAATCTGTATCCTTGTAACAGAATATCCTGTGCCTGGTGTGCTCTGGTCCATGGGGTCACGAAGAGTTGGACACGACTAAACGACTAAACAACAACAACAGAATATCCATTCCTCGTCACCAAATCAAAATCATTCTTGCAAACCCAGTATGTTTAAGCAGCATTTTATTTTATAATGCTTTATTTATTGCAAAACACTTGGAACATTGGAAAACAGGCAGGAGAAAATAAGGGGTGATGCAGAAACTAGAAATGAGCATTTTCATAATTGGAATCTAATATGTTAGTGATTCCTATACACACATGCACATGCACATGCACACACTGATGTTAACAAGCTATAATGTTTTCATATTTCAAATCAATATTTGACTAAGAATTAATTTATACTTTCTGCACATGCACAGCTTTCATGTGAGGTTGTGTTTTTTTAATAAATTTGCCATACTACAAGGTGGTTCAAGGGTTTTAAAGCCACTTTCTTGTGTCTTCTGTATCTCCTTTAACTTCCTTAAAACATAAAGGCCATCTGCTTTCAAAATGAGGCTGGGAATGTTCTGGGAAATGGCACTATGTGGTCATATCGAACAGTTTCAAGGATCTGTACAGGGGGAAAAGATGGCCACCCCATGGAATAGCATGGGAACAGCCATCTTTGTTTCCATATAGCCCCTAGAAACCATGTTACATAAGCAAGTAGCAAATTCAGTTGACTGAGATTTTCAAATACCTTCAGATGTAAACTGACACTGAAACAAAGTGGCCTTAGGGCTTTAAAAAATGCTCGCTAAATCTCATAATAATAGTCAACCAAATTTATACTGAACCAGTTCACAGATGTCCTATGCAATGCATGTGAAACTTTCTAACGGGTTTCAACTGCTGGTCAGTTTGCATCATATTGTAACCCATTACAATCAGTGCCACCATCCCCTTGCCTCCCAACTAAAATAATATCATTCAAGTCCCACTTACTGCATTTCTTACATTACTTGATTGAATCAAGTAACTTTTAAACAATAGAACTATTTGAATTTTTGCTCACATTATAATAGAAAATCTCTATTGAATCTCTATTTAAAATATAAAAAGTGCCCAGATTTCTGGGTGCCAAGGCTGTCTTAAAAAAAAAAGACACACACATACAAAACCTGTCTTCAGCTGCTAACCTTAGTAGATTACTCATTCTTCCTTTCAAATAACGTCATGTACAGACCACTAGTTGCTGCAAAGTATTTACTTGACTGCTACTGCTAGCTTTCCCAGAGCTGTTTATAGTTCCATTTATCCACTCATTACATCATCCTGTGGTTTTCTTGAAAGGTTGACAGTGTAGGCTGGCTGCACGGCTGGAATCCCTCTTTACCCCACACTTAAAAACGTTGTGGTACAAAGGGTTCTGAGCAAAGCCCATACCTTGCAGTGAAGGGGCTACCCCACAGTCCCTCTCTGAAAAGTTGTCTTCTCTGTTTGATCCGTTAGCAAGGAAAACCACCAACTTTTCAGGCACTGCCTTCAAACTCCTCTAGTAATGAACGAGTAGCACCAGCAATTTACTAACGTGCTCTAGGGAAGTTAACAGACTAGCCTAGCAGAAGAAGGAAGGTGTCCCCGGTTAGTGATTAGACTTAGGCCCCAAATATCTGAATGGTGGCCTCCTTGCCTGCAGACCCTCTCAGGGTCTCAGAATGGTAGCATGGGCCTGTTGGGTAATTCCACTACCCTCAGACGTTTGGTGGTGGAGCTCCAGGAAACAGCATCAGTTTTGGTGGCAGATCCTAAACTGAAGAATTCCCTCCACACAGAGATACATCTGGTACCTTTATTATGTAGCTTCCACCTCATGCTGAAAACACACCTCATTACAGTGGTACCTCGGGTTACATACGCTTCAGGTTACAGACTCCGCTAACCCAGAAATATTACCTCTCGGGTTAAGAACTTTGCTTCAGGATGAGAACAGAAATCATGCTGCGGCGGCGCAGCTGCAGCAGCAGGAGGCTCCATTAGCTAAAGTGGTGCTTCAGGTTAAGAAGTTCAGAAACAGACCTCCAGAACGAATTAAGTTCTTAACCCGAGGTACCACTGTACCTGGCATTACACAAACACACACAACCTCCTTTAATTGGTTTTGAATTGATTTTAATATTTTTTTTATAATTGCTGTAACCTGAGACCTTATGGTGAAGAGTAAGAATATGAAATAGTAATCAGAATGATATTTTTAATAGAGTCCATTGCTCCTTATCGAAGGTAACCTGTTTAGAACAGTAAATTTCTCCTAGTCTCAGATTATACAACCAGAATCAGGAGTCAAGGCAGGTAAACATACTGAGAGATTAAACATCACCATGTCGGATAATGGAAGGAAAATTGAGTACGGCTTCATTTTGTGCAGAATATATTTATTTTAGCTAAGCCCAGTCAACTGCCCATCACATGTGCCCAGAATGCCTTTATGACTGCATTTAAAAAGAACTTCCAATAGTCAGACCACAAAGCTATCACCTAGGATAATTAGTAACAGTGGAAAAATCTTTGGAAAGATACCAGGGGGAGGAAACTCTCATCAGTTTGATTAATAAAACTACGGGCGGGATTGAATTAGCCTCCATCTGCAACATGGGAAGGAAAATAAGTAAGCATTACCTGAATTTTTCATACTAGAACTGTTCAGTTTGGAATCTTTGATGACCAAATGCTTAATCCAAAGGGTAGGAGCTGTGATCTCTGGAAAACAAGAACCAATGCCTTTTAATATGTATATGTGTGTTTGTGTGTGATATATATGTGTGTAACTAATGCATTAAACAGTGTTATGGTGCTGAAAAGTAAGCTACTGAGCTAAGTTCAAGGCTGGGACCAGGATACCTAAAATATTATCTCCTACATACTCAGCTTGATCACTGCATTCTGCGGGAGAGGGCAGCAATTAAGTTGATTAAGTCTTGTACATTATAAACCCTTAAGAAGACATCAAATGTAAATATTCTGAAAAAATGTAAGATAAAATAATAATTAAAAACAATTAAAAGATGAAGAAAAGCTACTTTTCACTGGCCAGGATTTAGCTACCTTGCCCAGCATCTGCACAAAGCTCTTACAGTGGCAGCCCCTCACTGGGAGTCAATTCCAGAGGGCTTCCCCACCCTTCAGGGGGCGAAGGGTTGCTGCTGCTTCAACTGTGGAGCTAGATGTCCTCTTCCATAAGTGGGACACAGCAGGCACTGCTTTGGATCCCAGAAAAATGACATCTTTAAAATTTTCCTTCTCGTTTTCTATGCCACATGATTTGTTACTTTCAGAAAATAAAATGAATTTGTTGTTTTCTTACAGACTAGGGGCTCCAATCTTTAATCAATTTATCTGGTAGTTTGAATTAGATTAAGAGCTTTAATCAGACTACCATGACAGCAGGCCAAGCACAAGCACTTCAGAAGGGCACAGGGCTACCTCAGGTGCCATCAGCCAGGTGAGGAGCAGAAGGTGGTTATGAGTGAAGAGGGCCCTTTTAGCAGTGACATCCTACTTACTGAATACCCTCCTTGGAGAGGCTCACCTGGCACCTACCTGTAAGTTCTTCTAGAATCAGGTAAAGGGCTTCTTAAGATCTCAGGACTGTTAAAATGTGCTGTGGCTTTTAAAATCCATTTTAGCTCATACGTTTGCTCTCCACTTTTTCTGTTTTTGAATTTAATTTGGCATTTGTTTTCATTCTGCATCATATTTTATGATATGACTGTTTTTAAATTGTAAGCTGCCCTGAGAACTTTTATTATAGTGGTACCTCGGGTTACAGACGCCTCAGGCTACAGACTCCGCTAACCCAGAAATAGTACCTCGGGTTAAGAACTTTGCTTCAGGATGAGAACAGAAATCGTGCTCCGGTGGTGCGGTGGCAGCGGGAGGCCCCATTAGCTAAAGTGGTGCTTCAGGTTAAGAACAGTTTCAGGTTAAGAACAGACCTCCAGAACAAATTAAGTACTTAACCTGAGGTACCACTGTATAGGGTGGCCTATAAATATATAAACTCTAAATAATAAAAACAGCACTGCCATGATCTGTGCAATCACGGCAGCTGTTTTCCAAGTTGCTGCATTGGGACACTGCTTGAAGCAGTGGAAAAATATGGAAACTGAAGGCCCAATCCTGCTGTTATACACCAATGTGTTTTAGAAAACCTCAGTGCCCATTTCCACACACCTTGTGTTTGAGTCACTGGTGTTCTTCCAATACCATGTGACTAAGTGGTACAAGCAGTCTCAGGCAATTAATGAGGCGGGAAAGCAGAAACCTCTATAAGGGCCCTGCATAAAGTGTTATATAAGTATTTATAAATAAATAAAAGTCAAAAGTATTCTGACAATTTCCAGAGGCGTAACCATGTTACTCTCTCGTAACAAAAATCTTGCAGCATCTTAACGACTAACAAATTACTGTCTGAACAGCAAAACAAAGAGGGCAAAAAATACAGTGTGCACAAAACAAAAACAAAAAATAGACAAAGTTGTGTAAGAGAAACAAAAACTTCCTTTACATTTTTAAAAAAGGAAAGTTTGAAAGCTACAGTTTATTTTTCGGGTTAGAGATATGGATTAGAAGAAGAAGAAGAAGAAGAAGAAGAAGAAGAAGAAGAAGAAGAAGAAGAGAAGAAGAAAATGCTTGGTTTTTTTCATTTGCAGAGTGAGGAAAAGAACATTAAAGGAAAGGGCAGATTTATTATTAATACCAGTGTAGTCAGTTGTATAAATTGATTTGTTTCACAACATCAAGGCTCCAGTTTTTGCAGAGCCAGTCATCATTTTAGCACAACTAAAATTCTCAACCCATATATTACAACATATTTTTTAAAAAATTAAAATGCAGGCTTTTGGTAGCAAGTTTCACAGATTTCTAAAGAACTAAACCCCAAACCAACATGCTGGGTGTAGAAAGTGAGATTCTCATTTTATATGGAAAGCAGAACAGGTATAGTGAGAGAAAATGCTGCACAGTCCATAGAACATGTAGCTCAGAAGAGGAAGAGTCCTAATCAGCACCTAAGCAACTAAAAGGCTCTCTCAAGTACCGTAATTTTGTAAAACACAGGAGGGATGACCAAATTGGCAGCTTTGCTCTTGTTCAGTATGGATACTAACAACTCTTTTTCATCAATATGGGGAGCAATTGCAAATCAATTTGAAAAGTCACTTTCCAGCACAGTACTATGTATATCTACTCAGACGCCTGTCTCACTGAGTTCAATGGGACTTATTCCCAGGTAAGTGGGTATAAGATTGTCCCTTAGTCCCATAAAAGAACGTAATTCCACATATCTCAACTAATGAAGTGAAAGATCTGATAATGTGTTCCTATTTTGTATTTACCGGTAGCCTTGTTTCCAAGTTGTCCACCGCCTATATTTCAAGTGGCCTATTTTTCTTAAACATGGCATCACATGCAGGAAGTGGTAGACCTTCCAAATATTTCCTCTTATCTTTTTTTGCTGTTGTGATTGAGAGGTGCAAACTTGGCTGTAAACTAATTCTATTGTCACATCGTGATTACAGAAATGGATAGTCACAGATATGGCAGTGAACCCAGTTGACACTGGGTTCAAAAAAATAACACCCAAATTAAATATATTGTGTGATGTGGCGGTAGGCATTTTTCTTATGGGATAACAAAATACTAGGTTGACACATATTACATGAGAATAAACGTCTCTGAAGTTCTTACCTTCTCCATCAAAAACAGGCTGGGTCTCCATGGTGGGTGTTGGTTTCGAACCATCATCTGAATTGAGAGTTAAAAAGAATCGAAAAGAAACTACCATTATTGAGGTAAATACTATCTACTCTCCAGTATTGTTGAATGATTGGGATTTTTACATGGCCCGGCCAAGTCCATCAGAGAGAAAATCACAAGAATGAGAACACAAAAGGCAACGTACTTAAAGAATAACATAGCAGAGAATTATTAAAATCATTTTCAGAATGGTCATTTTTTGTCATCCCTCACATTCATTGCATTGACCAAAACCAAAGAACATTCTCCTTTTCGGTGTATTGTAGAAGGCTGCGTGGCAAGAATGGCCGTCGTTTGGATCAGATGGGCTTAGTCTATTCATTGTGGCCCTAGTTACCTATTCTTTATATGGCGGTTCCCTGCTTCTTGGATGTGGTGATCACACTAACACGTGGCACAAATCACAACTTGAAGGCTTGGGAACATGAGATGTCACAATGTGCTAGTATATGAGCAGGTGAAGTAGCACCTCACTGTGCCAAAAGGTTAATTCATAGAAGCCTGTCAGCACAAGGCCACCATGTTAAGTAATGGATATGAAAACTAGGCCTAGGATTCTGTTTGCTAAGATGGTTGGCCTTCCAAATATATTTCATCTTTATACTTTTCATGATTGTTGAAATATCTTGTTTTCTGAATCTTATCAGCATGGAATCTGGCATCACAATTTGCTGCACAGAAATTAGGCTGCAATCACTAGTATGCCATATTATTTCTAATGCTTACATTGGCAAATCACCAATACCAACATAGCTAAAACAGAAGAGTGTCTAGAAGAAATGTGTTCTTATTGGCCTCCCTTGTTCTGAAATTCTCCAAGTGCAAAGAGAACAATGAAACATTTCTCATAAATGCTTGAACCTAGTAAAATCCAAAACAAATTAAAACCATGAAGAAAAATAATCTTTTGAAAACTGGCCACAGAATGAAGCAAATCGGGACAGAGTCATGCTCTGACTGATTCAGCCCATGAATGCCTAAACTTACAACCCCATTATCTCATTTCAGGGGGGGAAAGGGTTTGAGGTCAGAAGACTTGGGATCTAGAGTTTGAGCTCTCTGGTACAGACATACATGTCATCAATGAAAAGTAGCCATTGTTTATCTCCTCTACTGGTATTTGTATTACGTATGTGCTATAAGAATAAATAAAAAGTTACAATGTGCAAAAATAAAACCATAAAAAGCATTAGTTTGTCTGCTTAGCTGGGTCATGTAAGCATATAAAAACAAGTGACATAATGAGAATTTGGGGACATTTACAGCATATTGTGGCTTTAAATACCTTGTCACATGTTCTGTGTCCTCATGTCCTGACACAAGATATACAGAAAGAAAATCTCAGTTACAAAACCATAGTATAATATGATGAAGTGCTATGCAACATTTAAAACAAAAATCCTGCCCAGTTTTCATCAACTGGTAAGCTACCACTGCTGAATTTCCAGGTGCAGTAATCCTAAAAGCAGAGTTTCCAAAAACGGGGAAAATATCATCCTTGCTCCAGCCAACATACAGAATTCCACATAAAAAGAACAGGAAGCAGATGAAGGAAGAAACATATGACCCAGTGAGGTTAATGTCAAGGTGGGAAGGGAGATGCAGGGGCAGTCTTTTATGGGGCTGTGAGTTGTAACCAGGGTGTGTGATTCAACTCTTAAAAGATTAATCACATTTTAAAAAAACAGCTGATTACAACTTGGTAAGAAAAATAAAGCACTAACCAGTTAACTGAGAAAACAAGCTTAAAGCCGTATAGTGCTGATACAGAAGAAAGTTAGTTGCAGTTAAAATCAATTAAGCTAAAGCTGTTGTTTTACAGAGGCCGATCTTAATGCTTTCCAAGTTGTTAAGCAGTGTTCCTCATTTTAATTAGTGACAAGATGACTAACTTTTTCTAATCAGAGTGTTTTCCAAAGATTCTCATTCATTTCAGCAGGATTTAGGCACAACTAACTTTACCTAGTATTGGGCTGGTGTTTCCCATAGCTGGAATAACAGTTGCTGATCAAAAGCCCAGAACTGTAATCCCATCAGTTTCTGCATGCTCACCAAACAGTGCTGCCTGCTTCTGTAACTTCTATTAGAAATAAAAGATTGCAGGGTTTTTTCCTGCCAATAAATAAATCAGTACTGAGTAATTATTTGATGTGGAATAAAGAGAAACCAGGGCATCTGGTTTCCTCAAACGATGCTTAAGATGAAAAGTTTTGTAATGAACTTGTAAATAGACGGGGTATAAATAAATATATATAATGATGATAAATTTTTCACCCTTGTTACCTGGTAACACCAAAGACAGTTTTCACTAAATTAAAACACACATTCTTCAGCGAGATACATCTCTCTGACCGTTCCATTTTTATTTTTTATGTCTGGAACAAGTGACATTCTGGAAGACTAACAGTTGCAAAACAAGATACATTCCATTTTAGTCACAGAAAACCCTCCTACCCTTGTATTATGAATATTGCATTATTATTTTTTACTTAGTTGTAAATTGCTTTAGAGCTTTTGGTTTGGAAGGGACATATATAATTAATAAACCTAATCTAAGCTAACATGATATCAAATTATTTGGCTTATATTGAAAAGTCACAGATATAATCATGGTATAATAGTGCTCTGAATGTAAAGTGCAGATGGGACCTAGGATAAAAAAGGCTTGATGGGAAATGAAGGCTTTCTATGGGCCATTTAAATGTATTTGTGAGAGGGGGCTGTTATTATGTATTTTGTCAATTCCTTTTGTATTCTTATGTCATATACCACCCTGCTTACAGGGGCGTGGAAATGATATGTTACTTAAGACAAGGCAGTATTGATTCTAGTTTTAAAGGGCTTTCATAAAAGGGGGTCTGCTTTATAATTCACTGTACAGATATCAGACTAGAAGACTATAAACACAAAAATGTTTGGTTAGAATCCAAATGCTTCAACATTCAAGGCCATCATGAACTCCAACCTGAGAGATAATTGCACACTTCTGAAATAAACGGTGCCTGCTTTTTACAAAACACTGCCAATGCTAATTGCAACAGTATGCTGAAGGAATCTTCAACCAAGCAGAAATGAGACTTTCTGGAATACATTAGTCTCCCTCCCTTTCCTCCACCCCAAGTATCTCCCTTGCAGGTGCATCAGTATGGAGGACGTTGGGGAATATTCCTCAAAGACTTTGTGATCTAATATCGTCAAGCCAGTATACTTCTGCAAAAGACAGCACTGTTCTTTGGTGTTGCACAGACAGCTGGAAGTCACTTCGACCCCTGATGACATGATTCAAAGCCTCTTCTGTTTGGCTTTTTGATTCCTGATTGACACATTCACTGCTGGCTGGAGATAAATGCCACTGAGAGGACAATGTTGATCCGCTCCAGCTATTCCTGTGAAGGACTCCCCCCCCCTTTTTTTGAATAATAAACAAAACAAAGATGGTGTGCTTAAGTGTTTGAATAGAGCTGGGGATAGACCGAAGGAGAGTATAGTGGCTTTAAAGAGGTTGGCAAGTCACTTGAAGAGTTAATTGTCTGGGTGTACAATGCGTTTATTCTGACCACGGACAAAGCATCCCCTCTTCCTGGAAGCAGCCCTTTAAAAAGGATATGTCAAAAGGGCCCGCTGCTGCTGGGTTTTTCTTACAAGCTGCATCACTCTGGCACTGCTCTGAAAACCGTGACTCTTGAAATCTTGATACAGAGCACCCCACCCACTCTACACCACCAAGGGTACAAAACCACATCCCACTGGCAACCCTGCTGTTAATTTGTCCAATTGCAAACCTGCCATTAATCTGTATGGCTTTAGAGGTAAAGGTACCCCTGACCATTAGGTCCAGTCGTGGACGATTCTGGGGTTACGGCGCTCATCTCGCTCTAAATAGGCCAAGGGAGCCGGCGTTTGTCCGCAGACAGCTTCCGGGTCATGTGGCCAGCATGACTAAGCCGCTTCTGGCGAACCAGAGCAGCGCACGGAAACGCCGTTTACCTTCCTGCCGGAGCGGTACCTATTTATCTACTTGCACTTGACGTGCTTTTGAACTGCTAGGTTGGCAGGAACTGGGACCGAACAATGGGAGCTCACCCCGTCACGGGGATTCGAACCGCCGACCTTCTGATCGGCAAGCCCTAGGCTCTGTGTGGTTTAGACCACAGCGCCACCCGCATCCCTTTGTATGGCTTTAGATAGCATTTAAAGAATGGCTTGGGGTGCAAACAGGTAGTTCAATAAGCATGTCTGGAAGCTTTTTCTTCTCTCCCACCCTTTGGCGTGGATACCAAGGGAAGTTAGGTTTCAAATTTCATCTGGGACAAGAAAAATTATGTATCTAATTAAAAGTATGAAAGACACACTGAATGTGTCATCCAGAGATACCGTCCACCATTAAAGGAAATTTGCAAGGCATGTGTAATATCAGTTTATCCCAACTCCAAGGCTTTGGTCAATCAGCTACACTGTTACTCTAACACACTGCACTCTCCTGTCCTCCAGTGGTGGTCTCCTGTCCCTCACAGTTGTGGTCCCTTGGTGTTACTGGTCTGGCATGGGACTGGTTTAGCACATCTCCCAACAGTGTTGAGAAACATTCCTAGATGTAGCTTCATTTGCGGAGAACAGGATCAATGAGAACACCACCTCCTCCTGAAGGTCTTTTTCAGAAACAGCAGAATAGGATCAGTTCTGGGAACTGATCTTCCCTTTTTTTCTATTTGTAGCTGATGGAGGATGGAAAGGAGAGGCTTGGCATTGGCAGCCTCACCTTGAAAGAATGGGTGAGTTTTCAGTTCAGTAAATGCCATCACGGTAAATCAATTTAGGCATGCTTTCTTCCATCCTTAGCCCTGTACATCTTGAAGTATGATAACCAACACAATTCTGTCTACACAGAGAGGGAGAGATGCTTGTTAGTGCTAGTGATCTAATTCAGATATACAGAACACCTGTCTGGACAATTACATGTCGCATGTATCTTAAATCATTTGTCTCAATCAACTTCTAATACACACAATTTTATAAGCATC